GAGAGATGGCACAGGCGGCATGAGAGACGGCACAGGGGGCATGAGAGACGGCACAGGGGGCATGAGAGACGGCACAGGGGGCATGAGAGACGGCACAGGGGGCATGAGAGATGACACAGGGGGCAAGAGAGATGGCACAGGTGACACGAGAGATGGCACAGGGGGCATGAGAGATGGCACAGAGGGCATGAGAGATGGCACAGGTGACACGAGAGACGGCACAGGGGGCATGAGAGATGGCACAGGGGGCATGAGAGATGACACAGGGGGCAAGAGAGATGGCACAGGGGGCATGAGAGATGGCACAGGGGGCATGAGAGATGGCACAGGTGACACGAGAGATGGCACAGGGGGCATGAGAGATGGCACAGGGGGCATGAGAGATGACACAGGGGGCAAGAGAGATGGCACAGGTGACACGAGAGATGGCACAGGGGGCATGAGAGATGGCACAGGGGGCATGAGAGATGGCACAGGTGACACGAGAGATGGCACAGGGGGCATGAGAGATGGCACAGGGGGCATGAGAGATGGCACAGGTGACACGAGAGATGGCACAGGCGGCATGAGAGATGGCACAGGGGACACGAGAGATGGCACAGGCGGCATGAGAGATGACATGGGTAATATGAGAGATGGCACAGGCGGCACGAGAGACGGCACAGGTGGCAGCGGAGATGGCACAGGCAGACAACATGCCACTCCCTACAAAACTCTTGCAAAAACCAAGGCTCACGGAGGTTCGGTGACTAGTTTAAGCCACACACTACTAGTACGTGACCGAGCTGGGATTCCACACACTTCTGTGTGGCTCCAAACTCCACATTTCAGTGGATGACAGTAGCATGGGCTGCTCAAGTTCATGTGCCACTTGTATCCCCCAAGCTGCTTGACCCTTCTGGGCCTTGAAACACAAGGTAAGGACATAATCTGACTTCATAGGACTACTGTGAATATGTGTGGACAACTGTTGGGGTGGCATTTGCACCGGGTGGGTACTGAACGCAGAGAGAGAGCCAAAGTCCTTCCTGTGACCTCAGGTCAGTGATGGGCCCTTCCAGCTTGTCTGACTGCCCCGCCCGGCCACACCCACCTCCTGCTGGTTCCTGAACTTTCTTCCAGCTGCTGGAAGGCCCTTCCCCCAGATGTGCAAGCCTCTTCCTCCTTGTCTCCCTCCCCCCCTTCCGGTCTCTGCTCCAATGTCACCCCCAGGGGCCTTTTCTGAGGCATCTTTGAAAATGCACCCACACTCCCTAAATCTCCAACCCTGCCTTGTCCTCATCTGCCGTTTCGTGGGGTGCAGCCTGCGGTGCGTTTTCCTCCTTCAGCGTATTTATTGTTCTCCCTCTCATGCTCGCTCCTGAGAGAACAATGGCTCTGCCTACTTTGCTCAGAGCTGTGTTCCCAGTGGTTCTCAACACCGGGCCACCTCACCCCCAGGGGACAGTCGGCAACGTCTGGAGACATTTTTGACTGTCACGGTGGGAGAGGGGTGCTGCTGACATCCTACAGTTGCACAGGACAGCCCCCCAAGAATAACCCTGCCCCGAATGTCAACAGTGCCACCGCGGTGCGCCCTTTCTTCGCAACGGCAGCCAGCACGTACGCAGTAGGTGCTCATGACGGGCCAGGCGGGAAGAATGCAGAGCTGCGGTCATGTCACTGTTCTTTAAGAATGGTCTGCGTGTGGGAGCTCACGGCCAAAGGTCACACTGGTGACCTGTAGCCTTGTCCCTCTGGTCTGAGCTCTGCCCTCAGCAGCACCCGGGACAGGCGGGTGGCCAACTGCTCATTGCTGGGCCACCATGAGCCAGGATGAGTCCATGTTTCAGGTGCCCTGACAACCTGAGTGACCCCAGCCTGCCCCTGGGCACGGCCCCCCAACACTTGCCCCCCCCCCGGAAAAACCAGGGCTGTGTGCCCAGTGGGCGAGGCCCCGCCTGCACAGTCCTGTTGGGTGGTCCTGGCGGCTCCTCACAGCCCAGGGAGCTCACGGGCCCAGTGCATTCTGGTGTCCTTGCTCTTTCCCAGAAAGGGTAAAACGAGGGCAGGGCGGAGGGGATGTTGGGGAAGGCACAGGTGTCGGCACCTCCCCCAGCGCAGCTCAGCCCCGGCCTTTTGCTGACCTAACAAATTACCACCGACCGTTTGAAACAGTCAGCTGACTCGCCCAGGCTCTTGAGATGCAGGGAACACCACCTATGGAACACATTAAACACCTCGTGGCCACGCTCTAGGGGCGGGGGAGAGCAGCGTGTCAGGAAGGATGCTTTTGCTCTGGGCCTGTATCCCCTCCAGAATCAGGCTGCTGAGGCCCCACCCAGACACTGGAAGCCTCTGGAAGCTTCCGACACCTGCATCCTCAGCAGGCCACCCAGCCCACACTCCCAGCAGGAATTCCCATCTGAGGTTCACAACTTTCCCTGCCTGCTGCCTGCCCCATCCCCCCAGGCTTTTGCTTCGCCCAGGGACCTCCCTGGGCTCACAGCTGGGCCTCTCTCTGCACACTCAGAGGCTGGGAGAGCACCCCCTTCTCTCTCCTCCTCTCACCATCGTATCTTTCCTACCTCTCTTCTCCTGCCCCCCACACAGTTCCTGGAAGCTTTTGAACAAGTCATCAAAGCTACAGTTCAGTAGCTGACATAACTGAGTACAAGGCCAGGGGCCAAAGGAATGAGTCTCTAATGGTGGAATATTAGGCAGCAGACGGCTAGGTTTGGGGGAGCAGGATGATCTTTGGCAGGCAAGGGTTTTCCTGGTGCTCTTGAAGTCACAGGTAGCTGGCCCCAACTCTGCCCAGACCCCAGATGAAATAAAACAGCAGGTTGGTGGGCAGTGACCCCCTAGGAATGAGCCAGGGGCTGTGCGGGGCAGGCCCAGGAGGACATGGAGGCTAGAATTCTGAGGCAGAAGCATCAACTCCCCCAAAGGCAGGGCTTGGTGGAGACTGGGTCCCAAGTCTTCCAGCCTCGTTTTCTGGGACTCCAAGCTCAACCTGTGAGCTACCGTGACGCAAACATTTACACCACCCCTCTGGCTCCAGGATGGCATGAGAGGCCCTAGCCACATGGTGACCTCCCTCACGTTCAATGTCGCAGAGTCAGGCTGGGGGCTAGAGGAAGCAGAGACAACAGCCCTGGTCTTTACACAACATCCAGTCCCATGCCACAGATGGGGAAATAGTCCACTGTCAGTGACCCGGCTGGGGCTGGAGTCCACGTTTCCACCGCATCTTAAGGCCTGCATCCTCCAGCCAAGCGTGGATACTTCAGCCAACCACTCCCCTCCCCCATTCCCAGACTCACGGCCTGAGATTGGCCGAGTTCTCATAAGCCTGCCGCCAGCTGGTGGTGCCATGGGTGCAGCCCACCAGGATGCCAGGGTTCTCATGAACTGGGTATGTGAGGACAGGGCAGCCTGGCTCCACCCCGCCCCTGGGGACATCCATTACCTTCCACATGTAAGGGAGGCAGAGGCAGAAGTTTGGGGTGAGAATGTCTCGGGCACAACTATGAATTTCACCCTTTCTAGGCACCTTAGGGACCTGGCCCTGAGCCAGGATGCTCGCAGCTGCCTCCAGCTGCCAAGTTAGCAGGGAAGTGAGGCCCCGCTGGGACGTCTCAGGCAGACTCCGGGAGGCAGGCTGGTGCCGGAGCCAGCAGAAAGATGCAACCAACCTGTCACCAAGTCGCCTGTAGTCCTGGGATGTCCTGAAACCAGTACATCAAAGTCACCCCTCGCCCACCTTTTCAGTGCAATCCGGGGTGTTAACTCGTCAAGCCCCAGGGTGTATGGAGATGAGGCAGTGAGCCTGAGGTGGCGGGGAGGGTGGTCCCATCTTGCGTTCCCTGGGATGGTGTGGAGCGGGACTAGCACATGACAGCCGGAGTGTGACATCTGTCACACCGAGACAGGCCCCCATTTGGGGACCCTGTCCTGAGACCTGCTCTCAGCTAGTCCCTTTACTTCTCTGAACAACAGCTTCTTCAACCATGAAAGGGGACACTGAGGTGCCCGGCAGGTTCTAGGGGGCATATGGGAGCATCTGGCTACACCCAGCACTGAGTAGGCACCCTGTCAGCTCTAGTGAGGCTCAGCATATGAGCCTCTTTCCTCCCCAGCCAGGTCCCCCAATTCTCTGTTAAGTCTTTCAGTCCCAGGAAGAGACAATTTGATCATCGGTCCCAGTAAGTGATCATTTGACTTCCCTTAAAAATTTTACCAAACTGCAGCTTCATCAATGGCCAAATTAGGATGAGGGCAAGGAGGCAGATCAAGTAATTAACACGGGGGCTTTGAAGCGACTGGGGAAATTGTGGTGCATCTGCCCATGGCCCCCCACGGCTGCCACCCCCTTCTCCCGCGGTCCATCTCTGCTCTGTGGCACCTGGCAGGGACTTTCTTCTACCCAGCCAGACCCAGGCACCCTCCCTGTTCCCGCAGCCAGGCAGGAGCCCGGGGGCAAGGGGGACCAGCGGACCCGCTGGGGACCCGAGCCACCTCGCAGGCAGGCTGTGGTAAGTGGGGAATTCGACCCGCTAGACTGCCCAGATCAACAGGTGGTGGTGGGCTGCCGTCAGCATCACCCGTGATTCCCACCCGCCCATCCAAGTCGGCCCTGGGAGTTTGCAGTGGGCAACCAGAACTGCGGCAGGGCAGCGCGGGCAAAGAGGGGCATCACCACCTCCCGCCCATCCCCGACACGCGCGCGCACACACACACACACAGACACACGCACACACACACAGACACACGCACACACACGCGCACACACGCGCGCACACACGCACACACACACGCGTGCACACACACAGACACACACACACACGCGCGCGCGCACACACACGCCAGGGCGCGCGCAGGGGCCATCTGGCCCGGCCCGGGCCGCGCGGTCAAGGGGCGGTGGGCGGCCGGGCGCAGGGGCCCGGGCTCCGGCGGGCGGTCGTCCTCCACCGTTCCCGGGATGGGAGAGCCGTGTCTCCGATCTTCCCGGCTCTTACCTGGCTGGAGCGGCCGCGACCCGATGCTGGTGCAGTGCCCCTCGCCGGTGCCGCGTGTCGGGCGGTAGGGACCGAGCGAGGTTCCCCCGGCGCCCGTCCGGCCGCGTCCCGCCGAACAGCTCCGCGCCGGTGACAGTGGCTGCAGCCGCCGCGCGAGCCGCGAGCTCCGCGAGTGAGGGTGGGCAGGGGCGGGGCCGAGGGCGGGGCCTCCCGTCTCCGCGCCCGGCACCCGCGGGCTTTGGGACCCTGCGGACACTGGGGTCCTCCCCAGGAGCGGAGCACCTCTGGGGGAAGCGCCTTTGTGGGGTTTGCGGGTGGAGAATGGGGGTGGGGTGGGGTCGGGAGGAGAGGCTTTCGGAGGGCGCCTCGGGCTGGGCTGAGCCCTCCTCAGTTTTGGGTCAAACCTACCTTCAAATTCCAGCCGTTTCTGCTGCTGCTGCTTAATAATAACCCACAACCCACCACGACAATGCCAGCTAGTATTTACTGACCGCTTACTGTGCACTAAACACTGTGCAAAGTGCTTCGCACGTATTAAGCCATGTGGCTCCCACCACGATCTGAGTCCACAGATGGGAAAACCGGGGCGCAGGGCAATGCCTTGATGCGTTCGGGGACACGCAGCTGGAGAGGGCAGAGCCAGGGCTGCAGCTCAGGTGTCTCTCTGGCTCCCGGGTCTGTTCTTTTAAGCCTCACCATGCTTTCTGTCTGTGTGGTGTTAAGCAACTTGCTCCATAAAGGAAGAAGGCCTGGCACATAGCAGGTGTGCAGTTAATATTTTTTGAGTGAATGACTGTTGGATGAAAGCTGTTAAGGGGAAACCACCAAACAAGAAAAAACAAACAAACCCCAAAACACTGGTGAAACTGGATCAGTGACATGAAAAGGTGAAAAATGGACATAGCAGCTGGGAGCCGCGTGGTCCTCAAGACCTGCATTTACTATTCCCAGGAACGGCCAGAGATGCTGCCCGGGGAGCCATGTCCTACAGGGTCATCTCTGCTGGGCAGCAACCATGTCCTCAGGCGACTGCAGAGTGCGTTTCGGGGTGAGCATGAGGGCAGGGCTGGCTGGGGCAGTGGTTACCCTCGCTCACGGGCTGACTGAAGGATGCTAGAATGCCCACTGGCTTCCCAGGTCCTCTTTGATCTGCATGATGCTGTTTTCCGGGTCACCTTGCAGTGCCCCTGGTGAAGTAACAGACCCATTACCTGCAGAAGGCACCCTTTAAAAGGAAAATAATTTCTAGGGGTGCTCACAGCCTCCTCCCCAGTTATTCTGCTGGAGGCAAATGGGGAGGCCTCACAAGGTGGGTGGTTGAGAGAAAAGGGATTGGGTTTAGATGGATGAGGGTCTTCAACCTGATTCTGCTTCTAATTTACTGTGTGACCTTAGACAAGTTACTTAACCTCTCTGAGCTTCGGTTTCTGCCTCTGTAACCAGGGCTGCCTTCATGGGCATGTGTCTTGTGCACACAGCCCTGCTTTTGGAAAGGCGGTATGCTTGGTTTAATGATCTGTTTTTGCCATCTTAAAATTTTAATCATTTTTGAACAAGCTGTGGCATTTGCAGCTTGTACCAGACCCCACAAATTATGTAGCTGGTGTTGCTTATAATACTCACCTCACTGGGCCACTCTGGCACTTCACTGAGATAATGTCTAACACCTGAGCTCTCCACAGAAGCTGGTTCCCCTTTCTCTGATCTGGTCTTAGAGGTGAGTAGAAGTTCACCAGGTAGAGACAGGGAGGGGGAGGGAGTTCCAGGCAGAGGGACCAGCATGCGCAAAGGTGTGAGAATATGAAATTATATTCAGGGAAAGGTAAATGGTCTGGGGTAGGGTGAGGGGGTGGAGAACGGAGATAAAACTGAAGAGACACACTGGGGTCAGAGGGAAAGGGTTTCTGGTTCCTTTAAGGAGTTTGGACCTCAGCACTGGCTGGTTTGGCTCAGCTGTTAGAGCATCAGCCCAAGGACTGAAGGGTTGTGGGTTTGATTCCCGGTCTAGGGCATGAACCTGGGTTGAAGGTTCGATCCCTGGCCCTGGTCTGGGTTGTGCAGGAGGCAACCAATCGATGTGTCTCTCTCATATCGATGTTTCTCTCTGTCTTTCTCCCTTCCTCCCTTCTAGTCTATTAAAAAAAAAAATCAATGGAAAAATATTCTCATGTGAGGATTAACAAAAGAAAGAAAAAAACCCCACAAGAGTGTGGACCTCAGCTTGGAGGTTTGTGAGTAGAGAGCACTAGGAGGGGGAGGCAGGTGGCCACTAGGCACCAACATGCTCAGCCCACAGCTCGGCGTGGACTGGTTCAGGTAATGAGACAGGAAGTGGATGGTGTGGGCAGGAGCCCTGCTTGGAGGCTGCCAAGCTGGTGTGTTTGAAACGTTTGCTGTAGACATAATGGGAAAATGCTGTAGGTGTCAAAGCCAGCAGCTGCGCTTGGGGACTTGGGGACTCCGGGTCTGATGAATAATGGAACAGCCCCTCCTCCCTGGGTCTTTTTCTATCCTTTCAATAATTCATGCATTCCACATTGGTTGAGAAGTTTCATAAAACCTCAGCTTTGTCTGAATCCTGGGCCAAGCTGAGCAAATCTGATGGCTTCATGCATTAGGTCTTAATTAGAAGCACACACACACACACAAGCTCATCCAGCTTTGCAAAGTGCGCCTCGTGTTTAAGTCGAGGAAAACACCAGGCCCTGTGAGGTGGAGGGGGGGCTGGCTGCACTGGGGGTGGGTTGGTGAGGAAGGTCCACGTGATGCGCACTCCCCAGAAGCAACTGTATGTTGGTGCCCAGCTCCCTGTGGGAGGAGCGGCCTCCCTTGCCTCCCTGAAGCCGGGCGTGTCCAGAGGGTCTGCTTTGGCCAATGCAGTATGAGAAGTGATATGTGCCCTTTCCAGGCGGGTTTCAGGAACCACTGACTCCTTCACCATCCTCTGTTCCCTGCCTGTGGGATTGTAGAGACACGAGGTGAGCAACCCTATGAGCTAGGACATTCCTATTTCCTATTTCTAGGTGAGCAAATGCAGGCGGAAAGAAGACATTTGTCCTAGAAATGGCCAAGTTATAGCACCCACAGGAGAACGGCACGTTCAGGCTCCATCTGCGTTGGCATCACGCATGCAGCCAGTGGGCACAGCAGCCAGCCTTCAGGCCGGCGGGCAGGGCCCAGGCCCCCAGGAGCTCTTTGGGGCCATACGTTCTGATGACTGGGTGGACAGAATGGCTGGGGCTACGGGGTCACTGGCCATGAGATACCCAGGGCTCAGGAATACTGGACTTTAGGAAGCAGGAGAATGAGTGTCTTTCTTCAAGGGAGGCTGGGTCACCAGATGGTTTCCTGGCTGGGTGGCAGGGACATCGAAGGGAAGGCCGTGCTTTTTGGTGTTAAACTTCCAGGTGAGACCGCTCACTCACCTGCTCTTCCTTGACCAGGGATTCAGTCCTGCAAGTTCCCTCCTCTCTCCTGGACTTGACCTTGCTGGTGCGGGAGGGGTGGACAGGGACACTGGCTCTACCTCACTGGTCCCCCATCGTTCAGACCCCAGCACATCTGTCCTTTTCCATTGCCCCTTAGTTCAGTCTGAGCTGTTTTCGTGTCCCTGCTGATGCCCCTCCTCAGCCCCTAACTGCCCGTCGGGCCTCCAAATGCAGCTCGTTAACAACTGATCTCTTTTCTTCGCTTAGACTGTGTCCCTCCTCCTCTTGATGTGGCGGAGTGTGCCGCCCGCCAGGTGCCCGGGCGGCCCTTGGTATCCCCCCTGGCGCTCCCAGGCTGCCTTCCCTGCTCCCCTAAGACCAGCTGTTCAGCCTCTGCTCTCCTAATTTGTCCCCTTGGCAACTAGGTTGTTGCTTATACAAGAGTTGCAGGGGCCGGGAGCCCATTAACAAGACAAGACTCCTCTCCATTATACCTGCTGAGAAGTTGCAGGGTGTTAAAGAAAGTGACATTGAAATGAAGGACTGGGTGAAGACAGAGGGGACAGGAAAGAGAGACCTTGGCAGGAGAGATCTGAAGGTGGCCCCGAAGATGGCGCTCAGACAGATCAGCACCTGGACAGCTCCCGCAGGGCCCAGGAACCCGGAGCCTGGGGGAAGATCTTGGCAAAAAGTGATGGCGGCCTCATGGGCCCTGGACTTTTCTTTGTTCCCTCCTGAACCCTATAAAAACTGTCTGTCTCGTGATTCATACCCTCAGGACTGACTCAGGGAGACATCTGATAAACTCATGATTCTCATGAGCGGAGGTGACAGGTGACAGCATGGCTTCTCAGAGAACTTCCCGAGGTCCCGGCGGTGAGAACAGGATGGTGAGGGCAGGAGGTGGCTCGGCTCCCCTCGGATGGGAACTGCAGTGTGGCCAGCAGTGGCCTGGTGGAGGAGGCGCTCCGACGACAAAGGCCGAGAGCCCTGGACGGCGGGGCGGGGGGGGGGGGGGAGTGAGGAGGAAGGGCGGCCAGGAAATGAGAGCCTGGGCTCCTGTTTCAGAACGAAGAGCGCAGGCCGGGCTCCAGCCACCTGCCCAATTACTTGATTCTGGAGATGATGAAGATGACAGAAAATAGCGACTTAAGGAGACATTTCCTGGCTTTGAAGTTAATGAAAAAGCTTTGAGTTAGGAGTGAGGGTGGTTTTCTAAGCAGGCAGGCAGCTAGCTGTGTGCGCCGCTGAGAAGACAGATGTGACCTGTCCAGCCATAAAGTCCTCCAGCTGGGTCAGCCCTGCTCCTCCCCCGGGCTGGTCAGACTCCCGCCCCCAGGCAGTGGCTAAAGCTTGGGGAAGGGACACCTTTGTGTGGGTAATCTGGCAGTAGGAATGAAAGACATTGAAACTGTTAGGACTCTGCCAGCAATCAGTCTTCTACGAATCTCATGAGCAGTGTTCATCGGAGCCTTCTTTATGATGGACGGAAATGGGCAGCTCCCTAAATATCTGCCATTTAGGAATCAATTAGGGTAAGTATGTTATACCCTTAGGATGGAATATTACACAGCCATTAAAAGTTAAGATTTCAATGTAAGGATACAGAAAGATGCTCATAGTACATAAATATTAT